CTAAAAATAATGAAAAACCTCCCGTCGTGATTTTTCATGACTCGAGGGGGTCTGGGGTGGCCGCCCACTGGAGCCGGCTGTGGCACTGGAGCCTTGGCCTGCGCCGGGGCAGGCGCTCCCATAGGGCCGCCGGGGCCCGCTCCGGCGGCCGCGCCCGGGGGAAGGCCGGCACGACCGCTCGCACGATAAGCTGAAGGCTGCGCTGCGGGGCCGCCCGCCGCCGCCCTGCGGGCACGCTGCGCCTGGGCGCCGTCCTTAGCCAGGGCACGCGCCGCCGCATCCACTGCCTTGAACCCAGACCTCGCGCTGTGAAAAATATGAAAAAATCACGACGGGAGGTTTTTCTCAATTTTCGGCCTCCGGGGGCCCTTCCCGGGGCCTCGGGACCGTCAAAAAACGACTCAGGATGAAAAACCGGTCCCGGGGAAGGGGTCCAGACCTCTGGGGGTCGACGTTGTGAAAAAATCACGGCGTCGGGGGTCTGGGTCATTGCCTTGAACACGATCGGCACCGGCTGCTTCTGATCGAGCAAGTGCAAAGATGCGGTGCTACCCATGTTGGTCGAATGGAGAATGGCCTGCTTGGCGACGAGGAGAATGACGTCCGTCACCTGCCATCCCTGCGCAACCAGCATGTTGCAGAGGCCGTGGGCGCCGGCAGCCAAAGGCGCACCTGTACCCTTCCACCCGGGGACCTCCGGCGTGTCCTGCAGGCCCTCCTTCCTTCTGCACCATGGTTTCTGCATCCGATTCTGTCTTGCACTGGAGCGCCAAACGGCCGTTCCCTTTCTCTGCGAGGCCGTACACCCGGGCATCTGCAGCCATCTGCAGTGCTACCGCCAGTTCCGTGAGTTCGGGAAGCCAGACCAGGTCCATGGCCTCGTGCTCCCTCTGGTCCTTGTGAACCTTCAGGAAGATCCCGGACTTGCCGCTGAGATAAAGCACCTTGGCTACCAAAGTCGAGTGCACCAGGAAAGTCGCCGTGCCGTCCTCGCGGGTCACGAAGCTGTCCAAAGCGCCTTCCGAGATATCGCTCGCCACCAGATGCTGCACCAAGGTGGCGGCCGGTTGCGGGCCTGTACTCCACCCGTGTCTCGACGAAAGTTTGGCTACCGCTTTGACCATGGGGAAGCCAAAAGTCCACGGCGGCACCAATCGCCCTCTGCTTCGCCTGCTCACCAAAACCCCACCGGACGAGCCCGCGTGTCACCCTCGCCGTCGTCCGTTCCCCTCCAGCATCTGCAACGCTCAGCCGGCAGTCCACACGAGCCAGGGGGCATCCGCGGAGCCCCAGATCGTCAGGATCCTGGGTCACGATGGCCGCCGTGGCCTTCGCGGTGTGGCCGACGCGCTCCAGCGCCATGGGCAGGGCGTCTTTCGGCACGACCGCCACGCCTCCCGTGCTGTCCAGGGTCTGGTGGTTTCACCTCGGCTGCCTCCACTCCTTGTCGTCGCCGAGGCCCTGCGCCTCGGTCCCGGTCAGCGTGATGCGGTTCAGGAGGCTCCGTACCCTTCGGCGTTCCGCCTCGGTGAGTGGGGTCTCGCCTCTGGCGTTGAAGGTGGCTGCCTGCTCGAGGCCCTCCAGATGATGATGGAAGAAGGGCACGGCCTCCGGCATGGCGTCGCGGATGGCCGCCCGATGGTCGGCAGGGTCGTCGAGGTCCCGGGCGGGCGCCTCCGGCTTCTTGCCCTTGCCCTTGGCCTTGCCGAGGCCCTCGCCCTGCCCATCAACTTGTTCCAGGCGCGGTGCGACATCTGCCACCAACCACTCAGGAGCGAAAGAAGGACGTACATGTACATGAATCCACGCTGGTTTCGAGAGCACGCATTGCACAAATGTTCGTACAACGCGGCCGGTCTCGCGAATCGAGGAGCCGTGTTCATGTACATAGCTGGGCGCGTACGTCCTTTGTGGGCTCCTGAAACACGTGACCGAGGTGAGGGAGGACAGAGCCAAGCTGGAGACGATGATGTTGTACATGATGCTGCTGAGGACCTCATGCGCTACGATGCTGCTGATGAAGACTGGCTTGAAGATGCTGCTGCTGATGAAATCATCCATGATGCTGCTGTATACGCCTCCCTCCTGCTGATAAGCCTGCTGAAGTTCGTGTACAACACGTTGAAAAATATGATGCGAAGAAGTAGTTGCCATTGCCATTGAAGCGGAAGCTGTAGAGGCGAAAGCCGTAGTAGAGTATGTTTTGAGGCGTACGTAGTTGCCGTTGGACGGCCAGTCGAGCACCGTCGCGCCACTCCATCCAGGTTCACCCCCGGCATGCTTGACATCTGGTGGAGTATTGCGGCCAGGGAGGCCAGCGGGATCCCAGAAGTCGATACTTGTAGATGCAATGCAGCCTTCCGCTGAAAGGCAAGCTCCTGTGAGCATCCACCGACATGGCCACGCACAGGGGAGTCTTGTTTTCCACGCGATTCCTGGGTGGACAGTGCTAACATGCAATGCACGCTGCATCTCCCAGCACGGAGCACATCAACTGCAAGTCGCCCTTGTCAGCCATGACGGTAAAGACCGGCAACACTAGCAGCATCACGCCCGCACCCATAATTTAGACAACCAGTCGGCCACTGCAGAGGACTCACAGCACCCGAGAGGAACAAGTCGATGCCTGTCAGCGCGAAGGCAAGCCAGCCGCTGACGAACTGCCTGGCAGTGTGGGGCCGAACGGGCCCCGCGCGCCCAGATCATCCTCGACCGCTCGCCGAGGGGAACCCGTGCGGAGCGCCCGATCGGCCTGCGCGGAGCCAGAACCATGAAAGCAAAAGTCAGCAGGTCCGTGCGAATTTCTTAGGTCGGCGCTGGGCCACCCCCCCTCTCGCCGGCGCGCGGAGCGCGCCAGGGGCTGCGCCCGAGCTCGCCGCCGCTGCGCGGCGAGCGAACTTCCTGGGCCGTGCGAACTTCTCGGGCCGGCGGCGCCCGGGCTCGCCGCCACCTGGGTGTGCAGCGACGACTCGCGAGAGATCCGCCTGGCCCTCCGAGCGCTCCCCCGCCTCCCGCTGCCCCGCCTCCCCGGCCTCCCCCGCTCCCCGCCACCTCCTCCTCCTGGGCCTCCTCGCCCTCCTCGCCCTCCTCGCCCTCCTCGCCCTCCTCGCCCTGCCCGCCTCCTCGGCCGCTCGCCACCCCGCCTCCTCGGCCTGCCCCTCCACCTCGGCCTCCCCTCCCCCCTCTCCAGCGCCCCGACGCGAGGGCGGCGTCGAGCCGCCCTCGCCCGCGGTGGCCGTGCTCGCCGGCGCTCTGCTGCTCGCGGGCGCGGCGGCAGCGGACTCGCCAGGCGGCGCCCCTCGGCCGGGCGGCCAAGCCTCGCCCCAGCGGTGCGTCTGCGGCCGCGGCGCCCTCGGAGGGCGCAGTTCTCACGGTGCCTGCTGGCCAGGAAGAGGGCGCAGGGAGGGAAGGAGCTGTGCAGTGGCATGCGGCCCAACCCGTCGTCGTGCCTGGGCGGTTGGATCCGAGGCCTTCGGAATGCCTCTCGTGGAGAGCCACTTCGGGGGAGGGCCTCTTGGGGGGGTCTCCTGGTAGTTTCTTGGAGGCCTCTCGGTGGCCTCTCGGGGATCTGCTGAGTGCCTCTTTGGGGCGTCGAACGGGCTTCATGGCGATCTCGGAGGGCATCTTTGGGTCCAGCTCGACATGTCACCCCCTCTTGGTCCCTTGCTGGGGCCATCTTGGAGCCCTCTTGTGCCCTCTTCGTGGCCTGCAAGCCGTTTTAGGGCGATCTTGGGCGCCTCGGGGCGAGGGCTTCAGGACTGGCTTTGGGACCGTCTTGGGCTACGTTGGAAGTGTGGAAACCCAGCCACGCTCCCGAGGCGTTCGAACAATTCACACGCGCCGCCCTGGTAGCTCCCGAGAGCGCCCTGACCTCTGGGCCCCGTGCCTTTTGAAGGACCTTTACAAGTTTCAATACGCAGAGCTCGGAGGGAAGTGAGGACTCCACTGAGTGCCTACGACACGGTGGTGGACAACGAGAAGCGGGCCCCGCCAGGGTTTAACGCGTCGTACTTCGCTCCTTGGCGATCTCGAGCGAGACGCGAGACCCCAATGCTCCTTGGCGTGACCCGGCAGGGCTTCCGACACTTGTCCTCTGGAAATGGCATTCCCCCTGGAGTTTCTTGGATGGGGGAGGGCGAACGGGAGAGAAGTTGAGGCGCTGACATGGCCAGGTCAGTCCCAATATCAAGGGGGGCTGCTATCAAGGCTGACGGGGGACGTGTGGGCCCAGTTTTCCCGTAACTTGGGCGCCGCGAGCTGTTTGTTGATGTTGTTCAATCTTGAGCGACGCATTGAGCACAGCGCAGGCAAAAGAGGGAGGGAAGGCGAGAGGGAGGTGGGGAGAATGGGAGGAGAAGGGCGTGGAGGGTCAGGGGCCCGGGGGTGAAGGGGCGAGGGAAGAATGTAGGGCGGAGGTTGTGCTCCACAGCGCAACAAATCAGCCAATTAGGAGAAGGGGGCAAAGGGGGAGGGGGAGGGGACCAGGGGGCAAGGGAATGGGAATGGGAAGGGGGGGCAAGGAGGAGTGAGGGGTGAGGACAGGGGGAGGTGAAAGGAGAGGAGAGGGGCGATGGGGAGGTGAAGGAGGGGCAAGGGGAACGAGTGCTGTTGGAGGGACGATGGGATAGGTACCAGACAGGGACGAGAGTGCCGGGACAGAAGCGGCGAGAGTCTTCTGCACCTCGCTGGGAGTCTTCGCCCGCAGGCGGGGAGAAGCAGACGAAGGCCGAGAGCCCAGAGCCCGAGAGGGAACCGAAGGATCGCGGGGTATGCGAGGAGCAGGAGGCATCGAGGAGGAGGAGACGAGGAGGAGACGAGGCGTGGGAGACGAAGAATGGGGAGGCCCAAGACGATGGCAAGACGAATAGTAATGATGGAAAAGGAGGAAAAGGAGGAGGAGGAGGAGGAGGAGGAGAAAGGTGTGGGAAAGGGACGAGGAGGATGGCCAGGTGAGGAGAAGGAGGCGGACGAGGAGGAATATGAGCCGGAGTCGAGCTGGCCAGCCCGAGCCCGCCAGAGAGCCCCGCCCGCTCCCGCCCTTCCCCTAGCGGCGTCACCCCACGTGCCGCCACGGCTGGAAGTCTGGACAGGGCACGCGCTCGATGCGGCTGGGAGTCGCCCAGCCAGCTCGAAGGAGGCGGCGCGCCCGGCCTGCTCCCGCCTCTTGGCATCGCTCGGACGTGTGCGTGTTTTTTTTTTTCCTCGGCGAGGACCATCGAGGAGCATCCTTGCTCATCCGCCGAAGAACCGCGCACGGAGCCGAAGAAAGCACAGGGAATGGACGTCCGAGCGATGGCGAGGCCTCCCCTCCCATCTCGCACTTGCCGGAGCTCTGCACTGGCGTTGCGCCCCACCCCGGCGGACGGGAGGCACTGTTGGTCCGCGCGGCGCCGTGTCCGACGATCTCGCGCAGGGGAGGCGCGCCGCTCGCCAGCGGGAACGTGGGGGCTTGCGATGGAAACAGCATTCCGCTCTCTGGCGCGCGGGCTGGTTTCCAATAGTCGGGGGTGGACAGACCTCCTACTCCAGATTTTGTAATAAAAGGGAGGGGGTCTCAATCCTCCCAGACGAGAAGTTTTAGACCCTCCCAGACCATCCATGAAAGGGCGGCCCTTTGCCCAGACCCCCCTGAACCCTCCAAGACAGCTCGAATCATACCCCCCCCTCAAATGTGACCCCCCCGACTTTACTATGGAATCCGGAGTACCCTGACACGTCGATTAAGGAATTGGCCGTTTTCGGTTCGCGAGAGGGCGTCGCGGCCGTCGTTTTTGCGGGTCCAGGTCCGTCGGTTTCGGTCCCATGCCGTTTTCACTAAGGGGAGGTCTACTAAAGGAACGTTTGTCCACCGCCGAAATAGGGTTGGTCGTCGGAAAAATTGGCGCCGCGCCCAAGCGGGAACACACAAACACACACACACACACATACACACACAACATGTTTCGGCAACAAGTGCGCGGCGCTCCAGCGAGAGCGTCATCCGAAATGCTTCGCAAGTCCACCGCTCCGTTCAGCGACCAGGTACCTCGCCACCGCAGTGCGAGGCGAGGTAAACATGCCTCGCCTGGAATGGTCTGGTCTCGTTTGGTCGCGTAGGGTCTATAAATATGTATATATATATATATATGTGTGTGGGCGTGCGCAGTTTCATTTGCGCCGATCGGAACTGATAGGTTTCGTTTTGGCTGGTATGGTCTGGTCATGCCGGTCTTTATGTGATGTGACAGATCGACCTATTTGGTCGCGGTCGGTCGTGTTGGTGTGCCCAGCTTGCAATCGAGCGAAGCACGTCCATTCAAGCGACTCTTCCTCTCTTCCTCTTGGTTGTCATACTCTGCCTCGAGAAAGTATCCTGTTTCTTCTTCCTAAATTACCCCTTCTCTTCATCTACTCCTCCTTCCTGGCCCTCCTCGCCAGTCATGTCCCGTGGTGCCACACATCGTGTCCGCACTCGGTGGGCGCCAGAGCTGCGGACACATGGGCGGCATCTTCTCTTCTGGTCTGGTCTGTTCTGGCCTTCTCCGCGCTGGCCTGGCCTGTTACTGGGTGCCTGGTGGTTTCCTGCGGTCTGGTCTGGTCGTCTCCTGCGGTCTGGTCTTGTCTGGGATCATACGGCCTGAAACGGCATAGTCTTCTGTGATGCGGTCTGGTACATGTAGGTCGGGCTAGAGGAGGAGGAGGAGGAGGAGGAGGAGCAGGAGCAGGAGCAGGAGCGGGGCAAGCAAGAGGACGAGTCGTGCCAGAATGGAGAAGTGTGGCACTCTGTTTGCATGCCTCTCCCGAAAGCCTTGTCTGGAGGCGGCCATCCTGAGCAGAAGATATCTAAGAACATAATGTTGTAGACGAATGTGACTGCCTGCGGCATCTCGTGGGGCCTCGTTTGGGGCCTACTATCGTGCGTTTCTTGAGTCATCCTCGGGTATCCCTCAGGGGCTTGCTTCGCGCATCTTGGGGCCCCTTATGTCCGCCAGACTCGTTGTGGAAGCGTCGTGGACTGTCTCTGCGACGCCCTAGAGCCCGCTAGGCTCCAGTAGCATCTTGGACAAAGGAAAGAGAAGGGTATTGGCGCTCCGGCCCCCCCGCCCACCACCCCCCTTCCAAATGCGCAGAATCGACTTCCCCTCCCCCAAGAGGGGTCAGGGGAGGCCCGAGCATCTCCTCACATCGGTTTTCAAGGCGGCGGCGAATTCTACATGTTCTTTTAGTGTTGCTGTGATGCGGGTCGAAGTATTGGCTCGAACATGCCGCGGGCGGCGAGCGGTGGAAGAACGGGTAGACAGAGTTCTGCAGCGAGGGGAACGAGGCGCTGCGGCGCCATACCACCATCCCGCGCCGGGACAGGCTCTTCCTCAAGGTGTGCGTCTTTCTTTCCCCCGTTGCTGCCGAATCAGTTTTGTATGTGTTGTCTTGCTGAACCGGGTTGCGTTGGCTCTGGTCGAGAACACGCTTGGGTCAGGTATAGACTGCTCGTTTGATTCAGTGGTTCCTCTGCGCGCGCTTCCAGAGAGCCCCAGGAGAAAGTGGCGCCCGTCGTGGAGACGCAGAAGGGGGAGCCCGCGAAGCAGGAGGCCACCCGGGCGCCTCGCGTGGATCAGCATCGCGGCCCCCCTCGCCCCGCTCCCTCCTCCTTCCGCCCTCTGGTCCCCGCGTGCTTCTCCCCGCCGCCTCCACGCCCAGGAAGGCTCGAGGGAGCCAGGCCCTGGAGCAGCCCTTCTCACACGCGGGCGCCTAGGGTGCCACTTGGCTGCCTGCTCTCTCTCTCTCTTTTCACGCTTCTTGTGGCCGTCTGGGCACGAGTGCGGATGCGCAACGCCCTTTCTCGGCTCGCGCTCGGGCGGCCGGAGGAGGAGGATCAGGAACAACAGCCGAACGAGTATCGGGACGAGGCGGAGGAGGAGGACGAGGAGGAGGCGAGCAGGACCAGGTGCAGGAGGAACATGGGATGGAGGAGGAATAGGAATAGGAAGAGGAGGACGAGGAGGAGGCGGAGGAGGAGGAGGAGGCGGAGGAGGAGGAGGAGGAGGAGGGGGAGGAGGAGGAGGAGGAGGAGGAGGCCCCTGGTAGCCATGGCCGCGCCCCCCGACGCCGCGACTTCGGAGTGCCAGGCTGTTCGAAAAGCAAGCATCTGCCCCGTCCTCCGCCTCGTTCACTTCCGTTTGCTGCTGCTGTGGCTGCTCTTCCTGCTCCTCACGTTGCTCCTCCTCGCGTCTCAACGCTCCCTCCACCATCCAGCCTCCTCCTCCGTCTCCTTCCTTGTACTCCTCGCCCTCTCGCGCATTATTTCCTCCTACGCCTGCTTCTCATTATCCGTTTTCTGATGCTGCTCACCCTCGTCCTCCTCATCGTCCTCCTCCTGTTTTCCCCCTCGTCTCTCCACCCTTTTCCTCCTACTCCTCCTCCATGCCTGCTCCTTATAAAACTCTGTCTGGCCACGCTCCACCTGCATGCCTGCTCTTGATATCTACACTCGTGCATGTCGCACCCTCAGACGTGTCGATAGGGCGGGCATGGCGCTTCTCCTGCAGCGACGCGGGCACTGGTTCTGAAAGCTTGCAGTCATCGCGAGGATGCAGTGGTGGTGGTTGTCAAGATGGCGCTCTCGCCTTGGCGCCGCGCACTTTCATCGTAACAATTTGTAGCAGCTTCAAGAATGGAGGGCGACTCGTTTTCAAACTGGGGCCCTCCGCCTGAGCGTCGGGGACATTCGTCTTGAACGCTTGCAGCAGTTGCAGGCATTGAGGATGGCTCCAGTTCAACATGTGTGTAGTTTTCGTTCGAAGACTTTTTGACCTGGCGACCAACGACCTGAATGTCCAGCTGCTTGCGGCAGGTCCCGTCACGGCTTCAGCCCCACACTCACGATTGCGATTGTTCGAGGGGGCACATGGGGCTGTTGCGTGTGTCACACCGTGCCTCCAGACTTGGGAGAGCCGTGATGCGGATGTTGGGAATGATGCTGATCATGATAACGGTGATAGTAACGGTGATGATAGCGTTGGGTAGCTATTCGTCGCCGTCGTGTAGCATTGGGTTTTATGTTGCGGCTGAGTAGGCCCAGGGGCATGTATACTGACGACTGGACGTCGCAGGCCAGGGGCAGTTGCATTGCCGTATTCGTGAAGCTGGCTCGATTATGACAGGAGTTTTGACGTGGCGTGGGAAACAAATGACGGTGATGATGATGAGGATGAGGATAACGTGGATGATGAGGATGGTACTGATTATGAGGATCATGATGATGATGATGATGATGATGATGATGATGATGATGATGATGATGATGATGATGATGATGGTGATGACGGGATGCTGATTATGAAGATCGGTATTATGATGATGCTGCTGGTGCTGTTGCTGGCGATCTGATGATGTTGGTGATACTTATGATGCTGATGATGATAATGATATTGATGAAGATGCTGCTGATGATGATGGTGGTGATGATGATGTTAATCATGCTGATGATGATGCTGATGAGGAGAAGGAGGAGGAGCTGGAGAAGGAGGAGGAGGAAGAGGAGGAGGAGGACGACGACGACGAGGACGAGGACGAGGACGAGGACGAGGAGGAGGAGGAGGAAGAGAAGGGGGAGCAGGAGGAGGAGGAGGAGGAGGAAGAAAATGGCCGTCACATCTGACACTTGTCGTCTTCATTGTTTGAAGAACTCTCATGGAACTTGCTTGGGCCGTCTTGGGGCTGTCTTGGCCTCCCGTGAGGCAATCTCGGGTGTCCCTTTGGGGCCCTTTTGGGTAGTCTTCGAGCTCTTTGGGGCAGTCTTAGGGCCCTCTTGACCGTATGGTGGGTGCCTGGGGGCGTTCGTGGGGTCGTTTTGCCGCCGCCTTGGGCCGTCGAAGAACCTTCTAAGGCAGTCTTGCATCCCACGGGGGCCCCGCTTGGGCCGTCTTGGGGCCGTCTTGGATGCTTCTTGGGCCATCCTTGCGTCCTGTGGGGCCATCTAGGGACCCTCTTGGAGACCTGTTGGGCCGTTATTGGGCCATCGTGGATGCTTCTTGGGCCGTCTTGACCTGACAGAAGCCCGAATCTTAGCCAGCGCGGGCCCCAACCATTGTGCTTCTAGCAGTATGCGCTGTGCAATCTAAGATCGTGCCCCCTGTCAGCACGCGCCCAAGCGCGTTCGGATGATTTCGACACGCGCGCGCAAGAGGCCCGTTTGATCGCATGACATGGAAATGGGAAAAAAAATGTTTCCCGTGAGCATTCGCGAGAGCGCACGCATACATATTTTGAGAAATCCGGTTGCAAAACAATGTTATGTTATGGGTTGTCGAGGCATTAAATGCTGACGTCTGGACGAAACCTGGTATTTTTGAACGATGCCGGCATGCGCGACGCGCATTTCGTCATATTGGTTGCAGGGGGTTTCTTGAGAGCTAATGAAATGTGATACACGAGTGCGCGCGCATAGTATTATTTGGCGAGGATGAAGGGAGGTGTCGATACCGGTTGGGCTGGGAGGATACGGATTCATATCTAGAATGGGCGACGGGCAAAACCGCATATAATACACATCCCCAGTGGGGACCGATATCCCGGTTTCCAGAGAGTGGTGGAAATTAAATGCTCCCTTTTGGAAAGAGACCGAAGTTGCCGCACAGCAGTTGTTGTGCAATCTACGCGGAGCACTCTATTCTATGCGGTGCTATTCGCCATGCCGAACTTGGAGTTGACAACCCCACTTTTCGCGCAATCATCCCACCCGCATGCTCGCAACTTGGTTGGCAATGTCCATGCGGCGGCGATTTCGATGACTGCTCGGCTCTGGCTGGCGCATCGCTGCGGCCGCGCTACCGCGCAGGCTCCCGCGCAAAGCGGCCAGTTAGTCTGACGCGACCGATGTGGCCGCAGTGGCGCCGACCGTTGGGGACTCGAGCCTGCGCGGTATCGCGGCGACGTCGACAACGGCAGATCAGCGATGTTGGTGGCGATAATGACAATGACGACGGCAAAGGGCAATGACTCTGGCGCCGGGCAATGACGGCGCCGATGCTGATCACGCCGATGACTACGATGGTCTTCTTGCGCCGTTGCTGAAGATTGCGATGAGGACCGACGTGCGCGTTGGTAAGAATTCGAAAGAGCGCGCGCGGAGACCCTTTTCAAAACTGATTTTGCACAGCAGTGTGTTTTTGCTTGTCCTCGGGGCACTCGACTTTGCATTCCTTGCGAAATCTCTGGTTTTGGAATGATTTCGACATGCGCCCGCGACGTCGCGCGCGCTCGCCTCGTCCCGTTGGTTGCCGTTTTTTGCGGGGGATTCTCGCGACATCACGCGCGCAAGGGCGTTCGAATGATCTCGACGTGCGCGCGCGCGCGCGGGAGGCGCATTTGGGAGAACGCAATGAAAATGTTGAAAACTTCTGGTTGACCCGGGATTTTCGCGCAGGAGTTGACCGTTCGAAAATTCCCGTTGCGAGACGATTGGTTTCTATTGTGATTTCGGGGCGCTCGATTTCGAAATCCGAACGAAACCCCGGGTTTTTGGAGGATTTCGGCATGCGCGCGCGACGACGCGCGCGCGCGTGCACATCGTTCTTTTGTGTTTCCACAGTGGACGGTGATTTTTGATACACGAACCCGCGCGCAACACTATTTGCAGAGGGGGGGTCGATGAGCGTCTGTTTGGGATGGTGTGAGCTCATATTTTGGATATCGGCGCGGCATACTCATTCGCCAATTACTCACCAGCCTGGAACATATCCCCATCCCTATGCTGGGCACCTCCTCATCACGATGCCAAAATTACGGATTCCCTTATTCTTTGAGGGCGAATCACTAAGATTGGCATCGCCTTTTGGCGTGTCAATCTTAGGGATAGGGATGCGTTCGAGGCTGGTAAATGACAACGCGAAGAGGCGGGGCGCGAAGTCCGCGGGGGGGGGGTCCCATGAGGGGGGTGAGTTTAGATATTTTCTTTCGTGAGATAATTCGCTGTTTTTTATAGGAATCGACAGAGTCCACGCTTTTGCGAGCATCCCGCCCGCCCACCCAGCACCCCGAAAAGCCGCGCCCCCCCCCCCCCGCCGAAAACACCCACCTGATAATGGTGTGCCACCCTGCCTTGTCCTGCCCCCTCTGTTCGGGTTGAACCTCTGCCCCTGCAAGGAAGGCAACATGTAGCATATAGCACGGCCATCGATCGCACAAAGTGGGATAGCAGCTGGGCGCAGCATGGAACAGTGCTTCCTAGGGAACGCTGCTTATACAGTGCTCCCCCCGTCCTCCCACCCAGTGGGATTGTGCAGCTCCTGTTCCACGGGACCTTCGGGACTCGGCTGCGCTTTCATCCGACATTTTTGGGGTGTCCGCGGGCCAGGCAGAGGCAGCCCGCCCGCGCGCCCCAGCAGCCCGGGCTGCGGCACGGCGAGTTGTCCCAAGACAGACCTCGGCATCGCTCGGACGTGTGCATTTTTCCTTCGGCGAGGGCCATCGAGGAGCATCCTTGGTGAGTTGGCGAAAAAACCACGCACGAAACCGAAAAAAACACAGGGAACGGACGTCCGAGCGATGGCGAGACACACACACACACACACACACACACACACACACACACACACACACACACACACACACACACACACACACACACACACACCCTTTTGCTCGGCTGCAGCGGCGCGGCGACTCGCCGGCGCGTCGGGCGCCCGCGCGGCCACGCGCCCACGCAGCGCCGTCGGGGCGAGTGACGAGAGAAGGACAGTGCCGCTTTTGATACATGCGCCGCGTGCGGATCATGTATCAAAAATGCAAGGGTTCAGTACTAAAACCAACGATGAGTTCATGCATACATTTCTTCGTAAATCAATCCTGTATTCAAAATCCCATATATGTTTAAAGATCCCATGTATTAAACACTGCCCTGTACGGCCGGCCCCTCTCGGGGCAGTGTCCAGAGCGGCGGCGGGGCGGGCGGCGGCGCAGCGGCCGCGAGAGGGCGGCGGGGCAGCGAGCGGGGCAGGGGCCGCGAGGGTGGCGCACGGCGGGCGGGTCGCGGCCGCGGAGCCCGAGCGCCACGCCAAGAGGCGTCGGGCAGGGGGCCGCGGCACGGGGCCAGAGGCGGGCGGCCGGAGCCGGGAGAGGCCGCGGCGCACCCGGCGAGGCCAGCAGGCCGTGTGGGGAGGCGGGCGAGGCGGGGACGGGCAAGGGAGGGGCGGCCGCGCCAGCAGGGCGGGGCAGGGGCGGCCCGGGGCGCAGAGCCAGAGCGGTGCCCGAGAGGGCGAGAGACCCTGGCAGGCAGGCAGGTCGGGGGCCACATGCGAACCCTTCCCCCACCCCCCACGGAGTGAACCCCACCCCCCCCCTCAGAAATCGTGGGGGGCAGGGGTCGGGTTCGCATGTGGCCCCCGAGCAGGGAGGGGCGGCCCAAGAGAGCGGAGAAGCGCGCCGGGCCGCCGGAAGGCGGCGGCGAGCACGGAGCCGCCGCAGCGACACTCGGGGCCAGACGACGGGCGGCGGCGGGGCGGAGACGGCGAGCAAGGACCACCAGGCCGACATGCAGGGCCAGACGACGGGCGGCGACGAGGCGGCGACGGGGCGGCGACGGCGAGCACGGAGCCGCCAGACCGACATTCAGGGCCAGTTCCTTCGAACAGAGCGAGAACCCCTAAGTGCAAGCATCGGTTGGAGGAGATGCGAGACTTCGAAAATGATTCGAACACTCAAACGAGACCAGTGGGATGAGTTTGGCCTCTACGGACTCAGTTGGAGGTCCTCGTGTGGCCCTTTCTGGGTTCTTCTGGGGGCATCCTGGACCGTCTTGAAGCCATATTCGGCCGCCTTGGGACCATATGGGGCCATGTTCGAGGCATCTTGTGCCACCTTGGCGTCTTTGATTGCCTGCATATGCCGTTTAGGAAGCTCGGGACACAGATCCACTGTTCTTACGCAGGGATTGCTGCCTCGGGGGCGTTGCCCCATCGCTTTTGAACGAGGGGTCGTGGCCTCGGGAGGGATGGCGGTGCATACAGGGAGATGCAGCCTGGGGGGGGCCTTTGTATAATACGTAAACCTTACCAGACAGCCCTTGGCATTCTTCCACGTCTCAACATGCGCAAGGCACGGTGGCGGATATGTAACATATGCATGAATGGAGGGTAATTCCTTCTCAAAATTGGACTCTCGTTTGAGAAGTATTCGAAATGCATGGCCAGAATTGCAGACGATGCAGGGCGGCTCCTTTTCTGAACGAGGCTTTCGCTTCAATGGCGAACCAAGAAGGTGCTGGTCTTTCAAGTTGGCGGTTCTTGTACTGAAGAAGTCTTGTAGGGACTTATGCGGAGGGGACTTGGAACGACAGTGTATATTACAGCGTTACAGCATCGTCGACACATCCTGGGTTTACTCTGGCCCTCCACCCCTTCTCCTCCTCCTCCTCCTCACACAGAAATATGAGTACGTGCACTCCTCCTCCTCCTCCTCCTCCTCCGCCTCCTCCTCACCGGGCTCCCCAACAGGGCGAGGTAGAGGTATCGGCGCCTGGCCTTCTCGTCGAGGGCGGCTCCGACGAGCTCGTCGCGGCGAGCGTGGCGGGCCCCTACGAGCCATCTGGTTGGCACGAGGGCAGGCGCGTCTACTCGAGGGCGGCAACGGACCGCGCTGCCGGGGAGGCCATGCGAGAGGGCCCTTTTTCGCCGGCGCCTGCCAGGGGGGGAAGGGGTGTTGAGCTCTGGTTGCGATGCCACGCCCCTCTGCCAGGAGTCGGGGCACTCGACGTGGCTGGCCTGCGCGAGAGCTAGAGCGACGCGTGGCCTCGTGCCTTCCCGGCGCTCGGCACTCGGCCATGGACAGTGATCATCCGTGTGTGTACCCAGCCACGTGTGCCTGGCACAGCGAGGTGCAAGCCCCACGCCCTCCAGAGAAACGATGAAGCTTCTGAGACAGCAGATGCGCCTTGCCGTCCAAGCGCCGTCGAGAAACGCTCTCTCGACCATGCGGGTCTACTTCTGGGAGGACAGTGAGCCGTCGTACCGCGGCTGGTGGCAGGAGGGCGCCGTCCACGCGCCAGCATCACACCCAGCCAGGCCCAGCACTCCTCCAGGAGGGCGTGCGCACAATTCCTGCGCCCTGGAGTAGGGCAGGTTGCCTCGCTAAGCGTGGTGCTGGTGCGCGGTTGGCGTCCCTCGAGGTGGCTCGGCCCAGAGGCCGAAGGGAAAGAATCCGACCTTTCCTCCTCCTCCTCCTCCTCCTCCTCCTCCTCCTCCTCCTCCTCTTCCTCCTCCTCCTCCTCCTCCTCCTCCTCCTCCTCTTCCTTCCTTCCTTCCTCTCCTTTATTTTTCCCAATCAGCTCCTCCTCCTCCTCTTCCTCCTCCTCCTTCCTTCCTTCGTCTCCTCTGTTTTTTTCCTAATCAGAGCTTGTCTCTGTAGGGGTCCTAGGGTGCCTGGGCCGGGGGGTGCCCGGGGGCCCGAGGGCCCGGACGTGCCCAGGGGTGCCCGGGGGTGCCTTATAGCCCAATAGCCCTATAGCCCTACAACTCTATAGCCCTATAGCCCTATAGCTCTATAGCCCTATAGCTCAATAGCCCTATAGCCCCCTACCCCTATAGCCCTGATTGGGGCTTTTCTCCGGTATCATTCCTCTTCTCTGTGCTACCCTCCTGCTCCCCCTCCTCCATTCCTTCTTCCCTCCTTCCCTGTTCGACGCGACACAGGCGAATGAGGACAAGTTCAACTGACGTTACGGCATTCAAATAGGATGCTCGCCAGACTGGCGAAAGTTCGATTCTGGGTCGGTAGTAATGCGTTGTGCCAGATGAGAAATGCGCCTGCCAAGGTGCATTCGCAGGCCTGCGCCGTGGGCTTCCGGCTGCATCTGAACGAAAACGATTGGTTTCATATTTTCGACCGCGGGGAACTTACCAGTCGACGCCATGCGCATCGAGATTCTGAGTGGCTTCTTGGGGCCTCCTGATGACCTCTCAGGAGCGGCTGTGGGGCCTCTTCGGGGCGTCTGGCGTCTTGAGCCTGTCGTCGGTCCCAGGAACATGTGTTGTCCGTGGCCAGGTCTCCCTTGTAAGCATCTTTGGGGCTCGTTGCCGTTTGGGGGTGATCTTGGGATCCGCTTGGGCTGACTTGGACTGTCTTGAGGTATGGCGAGAGTGTTGAAATCACAGCAGGATATGAAGGCTTGGGGCCTGTGGAGACAACTCCCAAAGCACTACAGACGGCCCGAAAGGCTCCCAAAAGACCCCCAAGATGGGCAACAGGGGCTGTCGTAGCGATCTGGAGGCCTGGAGCCCGAGCAACGCTTCCAGGGCCTCTGGGAAAGTCACGCGTTACCCCCTGGAAGTGCCCAAGAGTACCCGAAGCGTCCAGACGACTTGCGAATTGGGGGCTCGGGGCCTGTTGAGGAGCATCGATCCCGAGCGCCTTTCGCACGCATGCTTCGTTGATGTGTCTGTTCGTGCCACGATGTCTCGCATCATCTGATCAGTCGTTTCACATGTTTGCTCGCACATCGTTGCATCAGCATCGCAGGGCTAGCACACCAGAGGATTTATCTATCGCTCTTTGGCGCGTTCGGTGGCCATCCCCGCTTGGTGAGAGCCCCAGCATGCCACAACAAAGTGTGGCCCTTCTTCTGGGTGCTGGGTGCGGTCAGCATGAACATGCGGCGCTAAATTGTTAATACTATATGCGCCGCCATCTGTCTCAAGATCCCCGGAGGCTTAGCGGCAACGCCGCATCCAGGGATGGGTTGAAGTGTATGTTGTATTATCCCACTCAGTGGGACAGCAGCTTCAGACCAATGTTGGCCGTGGCGCTGCAATTTGGCTCAAGATACGTCGTTGGAGACATGGATCCAGTGAGGTCGGAACCTCAGCTGCAACGCCAGCTTGGGACTCGCCTTACTATCAGTGTCACCTCACTGCTCCCACTCCGACTTAACATCCCCATAGACCCAGACGTCCGACACATATTCCACAGTAGACCCGTTGTAGCGGTCCATCTCCTCAGGCTCGTGTCCCCAAGTGCCGACATGTCGGAATTACTGGAATACTCTGAGGCCGCAGGGGGCGGGTCTGACGAGACCCCGAACCGCAGGTGATCCGCCGATTGTTCAGGAGATGGCCCACGGATCGTTTGCACTTCTGCAGTTGCTTGTTCCCAGCATTCTGGATGCTTTGGATGACGACTCCGACGATGACAGTGGTGCCGATCGATCGCGGACGCTTCTTGGAGAGGCGGCCGCAGGTTCGTGCTGCTCTCGCCTCGAGCAGCACGCGACGGTGGTGATCTTCCTTCGGCGGTCGCTGCCTCCGTCGACCTCTCGGCCGACATGATCAGGATCATGGCGAAGGCGGAGATGGGGCCCAACTTTGCCGAGGCATGCGGCGGAACGCGAATGCGCACAGGGGGGAGTGGGGGGGCTCCAGGCCGAGGAGGGAGCCATGGCTGAGCGTATGCGAGCGGCCTTCACCGAATCGGCCCGCGAGCGCGAGGCCGAGATGCACGGGGGAACGCTTGCGACGCAGGCGGGCCTGCAGTGGGAGCGAGAACGAGGAGCACTGGGGCTGCAGCTTGTTTTGCAAACCGTTGGAGCACGAACCCGATCGAGTTCCAGGAGCCTCCAGGCCGCGTGCAGGTCCAGACCGCCGTCCAGCAGGAGCACAGTTCGACGCAGGCCGCTCTTCCGAGTGCCTTGGCTGCGTGCGAGGGCCACTTCGAGGAGCATCTGGCGCGCGAGCGTAGGCGGTCGGAGGCGTGCGAGGTGGCGCTGGATCAGCGCGCGCTGGAGCTGACGGCTCAAACCGATCAAGAGTGGGGGCATCGGCTCCAGGAGGCCCAACAGGCGGAGGCGATTGCAACGATGGAGTGCAGGCGATCGGCAGCTGAGGAGTTGGCGGTCCGGGATGCCGAACATCAACGCGCCGTTGGGAACGTCCGAATGGACTTCAATTTCCGTGAGACGATCTACCACCAGGAGCTCTAAAGCACCTTCCGCGAGCATCGCACCGCGGGCGGCCGAGGCGGCAGAGCAGCGCGAAGTGACCGGGGCCAAAGCTGAACGGTGGGGCCAGGAGATGACCCAGAAGGCGATTGATTCCCACAATAAGGTAACGCATACGCTTTCGGAGGCCCGTCCGGCGGCGGAAAATTTGAAGGCATTGGCCGAGGCCCGCGAAAATGTCGTCCAGGAGCTTCCGCCGCCCGCAACTCTGGCTCCCGACATACCTCCACCACCACCTGCACTGGCAGGGCTTGGTTTTCATCGCCTCGGGCGGCTACCAGGAGTCAGGGCGGGCCTTGCCATGGGGACGCACTGTCAGCAACCGATGTTCCCGACGCCGGCTTTGTTTCGATGTTGCCGAGTATCGCGCAGCCGCGGTTGGGCTGCCACGACGCGCGCGAGGGCCCCGCGGGCGGCTTCGCAGGAAGCGGAGACAGCCCCCCGCCCGAATGCGCCAATGATCGCGGTGCCGAGGCGACGTGGATTCGACCGCGCGCTCTTCTTAGGGCGAGATCTGGATGAAGAAGGCGCAGCCAAGACCATTGAGCTCAAGGACGCCCCGAGCGCGAGCGGCTGCCGGCAGTGGTTCGAGGATTCACGCGCGGGGATTCAGGCCGACAGGAAGAGGTCCAAGACGGGGGCGCTCAAATGGCTGCAGGAGGTCGAGGCTGCCGCGGACGTGGAGAATCCAGAAAAACCGGGGCGCCGCCAGGCAACCTGGTCGCCGCACTGGCCTAGGCCGTTCAGAAAGGACGCCAATCGGGCGAGGCAGTGCGAGTTCTTGATGCACGGCGAGGGGCTAGCCGGGAGGGGGGCCCCTCTTTCTGGGCGCGCTGCGCCCTTGCATGCGCTTCGGAGCCCAAGGCTCGAGCGGCTCGAAGATATCGGTTGGCGCGACTTGCTTGGCGAGCCTGGAGTTCCGAGGCGACTTGGAGGGCTGTTCGAGCGCCGTTCGACGAAGGCGCCAGACGCGGGTTCGCGTCCGCGGCAGGGCCGCCGCCCCCGAAATTGGCAGCTCTCGGCCCAGGCACCACCCCCCAGATGATACACCTCCCCTCCCCTTGCACTTCCGCGTCCGCAGGGTTGAACGCGGTTGAGAGGCCGCCGCGGCAGGCAGGGGGGGCGAATTTGAATGTCCCCTTCCGGATGTTCTTTCGCAGTTCTGAACTTCATCTCATGCGCGGCGCCATGAATTATTAATATGTTCTATACTTGATTTGGGGATTTCTCGGGCGCAACCCGCTTTTTTGAATGTTTGCCGAGTTGGATTCTACCATTTGCGAGATGATGTCGCTTCCTTTGTTTTCCTCGTTATTTTGTTCTCGTCCTCCTCCTGCTCTTCCTGTCCCCGCTTTTCTCCGTGCCCCTTCTTTGGCCTCTGCTCTTCCTTCTCGCCTCGCCCCCGTCGCCCGCCCCCCCTTCCTTCTTCCGCCCCCGGCTTGTTTTTTGTTGTTTGCTTCTTTTTTGAAACAAAAAATATGTTTTTTTGTTTAAGAAAAACTGACATTTTTTCTCATCGGCGGGGCGCAGGGACCGAAGGCGCCCCTGCGCGACGAGTTGGACATCGCTACGAATCGTCGAGATTAGCGCGCAGAATTTGACAGATCTGAGACATGCCCCCCGAAGTCCCGCCCCCGATGCCGAAGACGTCGCGGCCGCCCCGCATCTCCGACGGGGCCCTCCGCGAGCGGCCCGCGCGCCGCTTCTCCGCCGCGTTTCCCTGGGGGCGCGCTCTTCCCACATCGCAAAAGAGGCCGTCGCGGAGGCCCCCGAAGACCGATCTCGAAGGCCGATCCAGACACCCTGGCGCGGATAGATTCGGCGAGAGGAATTGGCGCCCCGCTTGGGCCCCGAACTTCATTACCCCCCTGCGATTATTCTTGCAGGCATGGGGCTACTTTCGCGGCGCGCGACGGCGCTCCAGGAGATTCGCCGGTTCGGGCCACCGAGTGGCTACGCAACGCGGCATCGCCGCCGCTGGCGGCTGTTCGGGGGGCGGCGCCAGCGCCCGAGAGGGGCCCCAGAAAAGAAGAAG